CAGTCTACGCATATATGCAAAGAAGTGCAACATTTTGACGTTAAAGTTTTTATTTCGTCCGCAGGCGTTTTGCAGAAAAATACATTGTGCGTCTAGCCGCCGGCATCACGCATATTTATGGCTTCATATTCATCGGACCGCAAAGATGCTGGGCTGGTGTTTACTGTATGCATTAAAGATAGCACTATGACAGACCATCGCTGACCATTGCATCAGGCCTCATAATCAGCGCCATATAGAGCCAAAATAGTTGAAATAGCGTGCTGTTATCTTGATGACCGGCATGGTTGGTAACACCACCTGTATATTCAAAAGGCATTTCACCACGTCCTCCATGCACCCCTGCTACATAAAATCAATACCGTTGGCAACACCGGAAACTTATTTCAGGGATTAAACTTCTACTTAAAAGACTGGATTCAATAGCGCAAATAGGGGACATAAAATGGTCTTCACTATCGATCAGCAGTGGAGTCGTCCAAGGAAACGTCTTAGGCCCCATCCTCGTCTTACTGTGGACTAATGATATCTGCGGCACCCATAGCAGGATTTTCCCCTTGGAGACGATAAACAAACCGCGTACACACCCCCTCGCCACAAGCCCTTACCTTTCACCAGATTAGGTAAGAATTGGAATCACTGACTCCCTGGTTAAACGACTCTGGCCTTAGCTTCTTTTCTAAGAAATCCCACATAACTTCCTGCCGCCACTCTCTTCCGACCGGTGCTTTCACAATCAGTGAAAAACTTATCACTCACTCCACGGAGATCAACATTGTTGTCCGCAGATACTCATGTATTTTTAGCTTTTCCCACAAGGCGCAGTTTCAGTTTGCTGGAGCACGCAGGCTCAGTTTTTAACACTGCGCTCCTGTCACCTTCCAAACACATTGTTTGCAATTGTCAGGATATGCGGGAGACCGATTGTGGAATTCTGTTCCGCATTCTCCTTCCCTTATACCCAAAGTCGCAGACTCATAATTAAAAGCGCCCAACGCTCATTCGCGAAAAGCTGTGCTCTCAGTTTATCTCCCTCTCTTACTGCTCCCGTTGTCAAAACCTAGGCCTCGATCCACTATGGCTCAGACGGTTAATGATAAACTGAACTCTCTTACGCGGGCTGCCGCACAAAAAAGCTTTTATAGAAGAGACTATATCAAACGTAAACGCACGACCTCGTCACAGTCTCTGTAACTCCTGCAACCCCTGAGTGTGTATCCCAGCTCGTACAAAACTAAGCCAACACTTTTTTCCAGTTTATTACGCTCGCATCTGGAACAACCTTCTCAAGCATCAATGAAACATCACGCATCATCAAACTTTTCCTCAGTCCGCGGACGAATTCCTTACCTGTGAAATTCCTGCCGCCCTACTTAATACCAAACTGCCCTTCGACCTCCTTTACGAATCGGGTCCAGTGCGCATCTGAGTTTAGCGACGATACAGTTGGTGGGCAAGTGAACGATCCCGTTATCATTTCATTCTATCCTCTCGACTCGCTCTAAGCTGATGTGGGACCTGAATGCCCTTTTGAGCAAAATGTGCTGTGTTACTGGCCCGGTTATTTTTCTTCCCCCCTGCCAACTCGCACTGCGTTCTAGTCTAGTCCCTACCCCGGAATACTCTATCAGCTCTGTCTAGTGACTGGTGCTCTCAGCGTGACTCTAAGCAACAAAAATCAAACCAAAGTGAGCTTTTTTCTACATTACCCCATATACGCATATATAAAAATGATGATTTGTCACACAGCTCAATAAGCACACACACAACATCGCGGTACGCTTCTGCTTGACGCTAGCTTACATCAATGCTCAGACAACGTTTAGCCATAGTGCACCCACCATGGGTATCAATATTCCATTCCCACTGTCTCTTTGGCAGCCGCAATTTCACTTGTCTCCCGCCACATGCCTTTAGCATGCTGTTTGGTTGTTCGTGTTGGCCTTACTGGCCTTGCTTTCCGCCGACCAGAAAAAACTGGTAGCTGGGGTATTTAATAATGCACAAACTACATTTATGACTGCTTGGAAGGTTTTCCACATTGTAGATCCGATAGCATGCACGAAGGTTGAAGACTTCGTGCGGTGGACGAGTACGCCCTGCGGGGAGGGTCACCTTGCTACGTTGCACCATTGTGCGATCGCGTACGCGCCCCCCACTTGTAACAAGGGTGCATCGCCCATCGCCAGGGGTTCCGAGGCTGGCCCTTAAATTCAGGAAAGCGAAAAAGGCTTCTGTTTGTTGCTGCTGGTGTTGGGCTCGCTTTCGTTGATTTATTTATCTGGCTACGCCATAAACCACAGATGAAAAACTGGTCTCTCTTCTGTCAAGAAACAATATACCTGGGATAGCCTGAAGATACAATACTATGCCCTTGACATATATCGACGAGCATAGCCGTATCCGCTCCCGTCGGAACGAAGGTTACACCGCACCAAAACATATTTCGTGAGCCTGAACAAACAACACACCTACTTGCTAATCCCAGGAGTGGAAGCACACAATACATATGTATATATACAGCGAGACTGCAAACCCACCAGTACCAGGATTCTAGGCCAGCGTCGTAAGTCTTCATCGCCAAGCACCACCTCTAAATTCAAGTAAACAGTAGTGCTTTGGGGACTGGTGACCATCCCCCTTACAGTCATTTTCCCTGCTAGATTGTCCTAGTATGGTCCACTTCGCTAATAACCTCCAGGAATTACACTCCATCATCTCAAATTTTCCGCTCCCGCCATTCCTACCAACATGCTGCCTTTTCCTGCCTGAATTCTCGAATTTTTGGGTCGAACTCCATGAAGGAGCGACAACATCCACCAGGTGTCTGTATTGTCAAATCAAGTTCTAACAACGATGCATTCTGTCCACACACAGGACAATAAACTGTACTAAATATGTTTTTAACGACATTCCGGATAACGATGTGCTAGGCGTCGGAAAAATAGGCGCCCGCCTAGCTGTGGCTGATGGTTTATTAATCTTGAACTCTTTTACAGTATCTAATGTGTTATGAACATCAGTAAGTACCTTTGAAAACAAGATGAGAAAGCTGCCTTTGTTGGTTTCTGCCGAACTTCCCGTTTTTAATTAGATGATAGGTTTTTTGGCGACGGTGAATAATATATAGCCCTCACACAAACTGGCCTCCTGCGTTTAATTTGTGGTAACCATTTCATATTTCGTGTGAACTCCCCGCTATTCATTTTTGTAGATGACGTGAAACTTAAGAGAAAGACAGCAATAAGTGACCTGCAGCCAAGTCTAGACAAAGGTATAACGTGTGCAACTGTGTGGGACCTCGAGCTAAATGTTTAGAATTACCGTCAACACGTGCATGTCCTCCAAAGGTCGCTGAAGGATTCGCTTGAAAACGGCAAACCGGGCCGTGTACAAGAGAACCAAGATGAAGGGGTCGAAATCAGCTGCGAATCTAAAGCAAAAGGCGTGGGCATAGCATCGGCGTAAAAGAGGTTGAAGTAGTCTTCGACCCCATTAAATTTTATGCGGTCTAGATGATCAGAGGTATTTCCGTCAAACTTTAATGGACTAAGGGTGGGCAGTGGTGCATTGCATTTGGGTCCGGTATTTGAGACGAGTCAAACGCGTGGCTACGAAGTAAAAGCATAGACGAGATAACTCAACTATCTTAGAATAATTAGAAAACTCAACCCTATCTTTCTTGAAGGGATAAATTTAAGGAGTGTTCTGGTGAAATTTGAAGGTTCCGCTGATGTTCCCGAGCATTTGCCTCTCGTCACTATTTTTGTTCTTAGAGTAATGTGCACTGAGGGGGCGCGAACTTATCATTTTTAAGAAACGCGCCAACGCCAATGACAGAGTAATCCGTGTAATATGCACGCTAGCGAAGCACCAAGTGACAGTGATTTTCCGAAGGCAGGTGTTCACGTCAATTTGTGTTGATGGAAATCAGAAATAAAGCTCATGAGCCAAAGCCCAGTAAGCAAGGTTGATCATCACCAATGCTTATATATAAAACAATCATAATGACAGACACCGTATACTACAATCCCCTCTAATGTCAGTGAACAACTAACAAGAACTGAGACACAACATGTTCACATGCTTAGCCAGGCGGCCCATGGCCGCTTGATGAATCTTGACGTGAAAATCCTCAAACGTTGTGACAGGTTTTGCAGTAACAGAGATAAGCGTCAATTTCTGGTAGTGGTTTCGCAACCTATCAGTGCGCAGGAAGTGAAATGCCCGTTGTTTTCCTCGGGTACAACGATGATGGAAAAGACAAGGATAAGGTGTAAGATAGAGGCAAGGAGAAAGAAGTGAGCACAGTAATATGGAGAGGAACAAAATCCTGGATTACATTTGATAGTCTATTCCATCTGCCTCCCTTGTGAAGTATCTGGACAATGTTCAGCAACTTTTGGCAACGCTCTGGACCTCTTTAAAATCTTATCCTCTAGTGATCCCATGAGCAACTTTAATTACACCAGTTTGCGGTCGCAGCACATGATAACCTTCAAAAGGGGTGCATGGCGGGAGTTTGATCGAATCCGTGGGTGTTCGCCTGCCAGCTGTTCGTGATGAGGCTTTCATGAGGTTCAGTATTCCCAGACTGCAGAATTCATTCCTTGTGCTGCAGAGGATTAAATTACGAGGATTATGTTGTTTCTGACTGTGATATATTTGTGCAACGTCGCAATCTCCGCAGATACTGCTACCTTTTCTCCTGTGCTTTCTGATGACAGAATTACGCCGTTTGGTTTTACAGCGGGGGTTTACGACGCACTCATTGTGGGATCCGGTCACTCTTGGCGTCATGTTTTACCGCTGGTACCACATATGGGTGTGTATGAACCCTTCAGTGGAAATCCTTCTGGTGTCGTGGAGTACAAATTAAGGGATAGACCAGATGAGCTTGCTTCTCTCACAGCTACTGCATTTAAAATCGGAAAGTTTTTCTTTCTTCAGCTTTCCTTGTCTAGTTTTGACATCAACCAGAAGCGCCAGGTTTACGAAGTAGATGTGGATGCTACGTTCACATCTGAATCACCTGTTGGTTCAAGTCCCATTCGACTCAAAAATACGACAAAAGTTCGTCTGAGTACGCTAGACAGAAACGAAAACTGTCCATTCTTTTCGGCACCAAGTTATGCGTTTACTGTACTAGACAACACTTCGATACATAGCTCTTTCGGACAGCTGGTGACGACAGATGCCGATTCAGGTTTCAACGCTCAAGCAATTTTCTACCTTGACCCTGCTGAGGATGGATTACCGATTAGGATACACCCATTCACTGGGAAGATGTATGCATCGAGATCTTTTCAAAAGGGCTCCTGGCCAGAAACACCGCACACACGTAACTTCGTCGGCATATTAGATGATAGGAAGCAAATCACATTTAAAGTGTATGCTACGCATCGTGGCGACCCATCTCAAGTTCGTTGTAATATAGTTAGTGTGACAACTGTTCAACTTAGTATCGAGACGACAAACTCTCATTCACCAACAATCATTGTTGATCCCTTCAACGACATTTCTATCCCTGGTGCTGCGGGTGTTCCATATGCTCGCGTTACCGTAATTGACAAGGACTCATCCCGGGGAACAGAACATGCGCTTCGCATTCTTGAGCCTGATATGCAAGAAAAATTTGAGCTCATCCCCACGGCTAAACCGTCCGAATGGCTTCTGCAAGTACGGCGTAACTTAACACCAATATCTTTGGCAGCGCGCATCGTGTTAACACTTGAAGCGGCTGACAAGAATGCACTGCTCACTTTAGCTCCTCATCACCTCCCTTTATCAGATTCACGTATCTCCCGCTACACACTGGACATTCCTGTCGTGTCCAAATCCACTTACCGTCTTCACTTCCCTAGCGAAGTGACCGTGACCATTACGGAGGCGGCACTAGTCAACTGTACAATAGCAATATTAACACCGAGTTTACCTTATAGGATGTCGAATTCCAGCTTCGTTTTCACACTACTGAGAGCTGATATAGGTAATGATTCCTTCAACACACCCATCAGCATCACCTCCTCTGGATCTGTGGTCCTCTCTGCACCAGTCGATGTTGACCATCCGCCGTCGTTTGGACGGACCGAGAAGTACACTAAAATAACTCTCCCGTTCACAGTTGTTGACAGGAATAACTTGTTGCTTAGTAGTGCACCGAAATCCCGACTAATTGTTCTAGTCCAGGACGTAAACGACAACGACCCGGTCGTGCGGAACAACGCAACCGTATACGAAATCCGTGAAGACGCTCCTTTAGGGACTGTTGTTTTCCATATTGATGCCATAGACACTGACGTATCTGGAACCAGACTACTGTTCTCACTCTATAATTCGCAAAATCTTCCCTTCATCGTTAGTGACGAAGGCAACCTGCTAGTTGGAAAGCCTCTCGATGCCGAAGTCATGCCAACGGAGTTCACTTTATACCTGAAAGTAACAGATTCCGGCCGTCCTCTTCCAAGAAGCGTATTGGCCGTATTCACTGTTCATATTTTAGACGTCAATGAATATGCCCCTAGATTTGTTGAGTTAGGCTGTGAGACCTGGTTGTCCGTCACTGATGCGGGGACAATTCCATCACATCCCAATACGCCGCTGAATACGATTCTTGGCAGATATTCCGCCGAAGATATTGATCGTGACGGCCATGGTGCTGTAAGTATACGTCTCGCAACGTCTACCTTAAACAGACCTTGCTTCAAGGTCGATGCAACAACTGGCGAGTTGAGTGTGACCTGTTCATATATGGGTCCACCGGGTTCGAATATAATTCTAACTCTGCTGGCATCTGATGGTGATAAGTTTTCTGACGTCCCCGTGGAGCTCACTATTCATCTTGTCCATCAAAAGTCGAACAAAAACTTCACCCAGCGTTGTCAATCTTCCGGAGTGTACACCGAGCTAGAGCGGTTGAAGTTGCGGCGTAAGGAGTATGAATTATTAATCAATTCTTATCTGCAGCCTAGACTGCTCTCTGTCAACAGACATCGTCCGAAATTCCCACCTGATCTACCAACACGGATTCACGTGCCTGAAAATTTGCCACTGGAAGCGGTCGTTCTGCAGCTATCAGCCGTAGACGAGGATAGTGGGGATTATTCAGCTGCCGGTCAGGTCGTTTATGGCCTTGAAGCTCTTGGTGCAGTTGATGCAGAAAACTTTGCCCCAAGCTCTGGCACAACAAACTCACAGGAGGACTTCCAGCAAGCTTTTCTTTTGAAGTCTGTCGTTTATCCAGGCGACCTCTCGCCAGTTGGTCTTCTTTACCCGAAAAATGGCGTCGCCTTGGTTGTTGCTGCTCCGTTAGACCGTGAACGTATATCCAGCTTCAGTCTTGTGATACATGCATGTGATCTAGGCACTCCCAGACTGTGCGCCTCATCCCCGTTGCATATATTTCTGGACGACTTAGACGACAACCCACCGGAATTCCTGACTCCATCCGCAGCCGACCAAAGTGAAATGCCTGATTCTTTCGATGGATTTATCCCAGTCCTTCAGCACAAAGCTAATATTCCTGGGGTCTTCCAAGTGCCAGAAGACATCCCGATTGATGCACGAATCGGACAAGTTTTAGCTGTTGATCACGACGTTACAGATGAGGTCCGCTATCGTTTGATATCACACAGCGATGTATTCAAGGTGAGTTGCCGGTCTTTGCTATTTCTATTAAAATAGCATGTTTTTTAAGAAGACCAATTTATCCTACCATTTCAATATGATATCTTCACTGGCGAAAAATAGCGGTTTTTAATTAGCACCACGTTTTCAGTCACGTCTTCGACCAGTTCTAGCGTCTTGATTGTTGTTCACAGCTGTAGCTCTACTTCGACACCCTGAAAATATGTGTTCCGAATCACGTCGCAATGATAAAACTGTTCACCCGCAGCACCCTTTCGGTGCCCAACTGCCATGCCATCCTTAGGAGGCACAAGGGCTGGGATAGTGCCAGGTTACCCAAACCTAGACAAGGGAAGTCGAGATGCAGAGGTTGGGTTCGAAACATGCACTTTCCGGTCAGTGAATCCACACTGAAACTACTGAGCCATCTCGCTCCCCACGCTTCAGTAGTATTTGGGTAATTTGTTCTGTATGGGAGTGTGGACCAGGTTTTGCCATATCGGTATTAGTACATGGCGGCGAAATATTGTTGTTGAACACTGGTGTGCTGTCGATAATGATTGTAGTGACGATGGTAATGTGTCGTACGTATTCTGGGAGATAAGGACTTGTCGGCTTAGTAAGGTTTTGTCACAAAGGTCCTGTTATGCAGTTGTACACTTAAGTTTACACTCGGAAGCTTGCATGGGTAACCTCCGTGATGAATGCTAGAAAATTGTAGTGTGAATATTAGTAGTCGCTCACCTTTGCCACACTTTTGGTGCGTGGCTCTCGTGCAATAAAAAAGCGCGAGTACTGATATAATTCCGGGTTTCAAAATTCTAGCTAGAAGCAGTTGGAAAGCCAGGGTTTGGTGCAGTCAGTCATTCGGTTCGCACCTCGAGCTATCTCGTGTTTGTAATGTTTAATCACAACGATAGAAGAGGCGCCAAGATCCCTAGTACACAGTTGACGAAATACATTCATCTGAAAATTGAGCTGGTGATAACGGGAGGCAACTACATTCCTCGTTTATGAAATTCTTCAACTTCTTCTGCTGATCAAAGCCTACCTGATATTTCATCTGATGAAATCATCGAGATGTCGCAGAATATCCCAAACAAGAGGTTCTACACGGATCAAGTTTTCTTCCGTTACCATCAACATAATTTGCGAACAAGTTTACTTAGTTAATAGCGTACACTATGGTTTCCAAGTGGGACATGAAATTCACGGAAATTCGGGGACTGTGCCTGCATGATGGGTCTCAAAAAGAGGGACATCGGCCATAGGCTGTCGAAGAATTTTCAGCAGTCCTGTTTGTCGTGTTCTGTCGAGGTCTTTGGTACACCTTTGAAAGAGTAGCTGGTATAACCGACGTGTGAATACAGGAGTAACACTAGACCCTTTGACGGGAGCTATGCACTAAAGGTAACAGTTTTGATGCACACGCGTCACGGCCTTGTCTGCCAATACCTGTCACCATTGATCTGTCCCGTATCGCGGTTCCTACCCATGGAGACATCAATAGCCAGAATAGCTGAGTCTTCTGGTAATGCCCTTCACACTTCGTGAAGCCACTAGTTGACCTCCTCGAACCCGTTTCTATCCTCCACGTGATTGAGCGAGAAGGGTTCTCTTAGGGACTTGGTCGATTTGCATACGGAGCACGCGACCAAGCCGCTGAAAGCAATGGAGTGCGAACAGCTCATCTGTCGCAGGCGATTTATTTCTTCCGAGAACCATTCAATGAACTCCAGCACCACTAGTCAGATGTTCCCACCGGACTTGGAGAATGTTCCAAAGACAGATGATCAGCCACTGAAAGTCTTTTCGTCCTCAGCTTGCAGCTGTCGGGGTTCTCATTCATATAATAATATACAGCATACCGCAGGGTTGTAAGCTCTACTCATGACGGATAAACGGTTGTCATGTTTACACCACAGGCGATGTGATCGGCAAGATCTGCTCTGGCTCTCCCAGTCCGGATGGAAATATCGTCTATATCTAGACCACCGGCTGTGATACAGCCGCCCAGATAGACAAATTTGTGCACTGCCTCAATCGGCTCATCCGTGAGCATGAGATGAGAGTTTGGGCCCACCCAGTTTGCAGCAGCACTTTGCAGATGTGAAACGCATGCCAAACCACGACGCAGAATTATTTAGATTATTTAGTAGCGTTTGCATTACCACGGCGTCAGATTCAAGAATAGCTAGATGGTTTGCATACTGAATGTCTGAGCGAATGCCCCGGGAGCACTTCGACCCCACAGGCGTTAGAGGCTGTGAGTTAGTCTTCCATGATCACATCAATGACGAAGTGGAAGAAGAAAGGTAAAAGAGGAAAGCCCTGGCTGATACCACTTGATGTATTGAACTCAACTGAAGGCTTCGCGTAGGCATTCACGTGTCCGAAGGAGTTGACGTACAGCGCCTTAAGGAGGGTCAAGAATTTGTTGGGGACACCTTTGAGTGTATATGTGATCGACGCGTCCTCTTTTGCGGGATAGAACTCAGCTTTCGGATTCTATTTCCCTGTGTCTACTCAATCTTTGGAGGATGAGATTAGGGGGTTCTCTCGATGCCAAAGTTATCAGGCTAGTGCCACGAGGACCTTACCACTAATCCATCCCAGTCGTTCAGTTGTGGCACCTTTTTTTCCCAGGATTGACCGTATCCCCCACATTCTTCCACTTTTCGGTGATTGAACCTGTAGCAACTGGAACCAATGTGACCATGGTATACGGTTATAGCTGATAAATTGGACTGAATTGTAGCACCCTTTCAGTGCTTAGCTGTGACGCCACTAGAAGGAAACACGAGGGTTGAGAATCTACCGGGTTGGACAAGCTTAGACAGGAACAGTCGAAGTTGGGTTCAAACCGCAGACCATCCGGCCAGTAAGTTCGCGTCTTAACCATCAAGTTCTCTTGAGCTCACACAATGTCCGCTTACCCTCCTTAAAGATGGGGATAACTGCTGATTTGTTTCGTTCTGCTGTCACTTCCTGCACTACAAACTGTGCCAATAAATTGTATCAGATAAGTTACCACAGGTAATAATAGTCGTTTAGCTGTAACACTCATTCGGTGCCATGCCACCCGAAGGAAGCACGAAGGCTTGGGTACTGCCAGGTTGCCCAAGCCTAGACAGAAGAAGTCGAGAGGGGGAGGTCGGGTTCGAACCACGAACCTTCCGGTCAGTAAGTTCGCGCAATAACCACTGAGCCACCTCGTCCCGGTTACCAGAGGTTCTTCGCCTTCTATGAAGACAAATGGTTAAAAACTGTCCGGTTGTGGTGCCTTCTCACATTTTAGAAGGGTTATTTTGTACATTACCTCCTGACGGGCCATTAGGGTTTACATTTCATCTATTCGAATGCACTCTCTCTAGGAGGATGTAGAAGGTCAGCTAAGCTGTTCTTCTAAGACCTCAGCCCATCTTGCTATTCGGCGTTTTCCCGAACGAATCACAAAACCCTCTAACGATGTCGATTACATCCAGTAGTCACTTTATCCTACTGAGGAAGTCTGACGGACATTTTTGAATGTTGCTAGCAAAGCTCTTTCTGCATGGTGCCGTGCTTCATGCACCTCTTGTACTGTGTTTGTTTACTTCATAGTGTAGTTGAGCTAGCTCAGATTGGTACTGCTGAGCTATGGTAGTTTTCCGAAGATCGGCGTGCCTCTTGCTGGCACATGATAACTTGTAGGAAGGTGAATTGTCAGACGGGTTCTCATTTTGGCGTGATCGGAACCAAGTTGTGTACTAAGAAAGGGCGATCGTCTTGGATTGTGGCCTTCCACCCGTGGCTTGTAGCATACCGTTAGTTGGACCCACGGTCGATTTGATTTTAATGGCCGACAGGTGAGACGATGCTAGGGTTTGGTTAAAACCTTCGATGGCGATTGCCCAACTGGGGAAGTTGTCCTCCGTTTCCTTTGCGACGGAAGCTGAATAATGAATATGAATGTGATACCACTAATAATAATCGGTAGCATGACATAACTGTTCAACGCTGACTTCGCTGCTGTACGACCATCATTTATTTCAATGTTTTGTTGTGAGGTCCATATACCTCTAAATACTCATTCAGGCAATTAGGACAAAAACTGACAAGAATGCCATTGACATCAATTAGCAGCCATTTTTGTAGCATCACCAACCAGCGCCAAGACCGTTCAGAACCCTTTTACATACCCCTCTGCCTGGTTAAGATTGGTCATCTCTCTTCTTCCACCTTCCTGAATTGAGCACGGAAGAAATCGTTCAGCTATATCACCCTTTCGGTGCCTAACTGCCATGTCACAAGAATGAAGCGCGGGTCTGGGATACTGTCAGGTTGCCCAAACCTAGACAGGGAAAGTCAAGAGGCAGAGGTCGGGTTCGAACCACGGACCTTCCGGTCAGTAAATTCGCGCTGTGCCTACTTAGGCCATCTCGCCCCGGAAAACAGCACTCATCGGCACACGATGGTTAGGCATAGAAAGGTAGAACTCTTGGATCGTTGGATTGACCACTCGACATCAATGCAACTGGCCACATGTAGTTGCTCAGCCAAATTCTCAACCGGAAACGCAGTGGGTGTGACAGTCACATCACCATCATCATCATCATCATCATCGACAGCGTGACATCAGTGTCCAACACCGATGCTTCACTGCCGTACAACCATGACTTATTTGAAAGCCTTATTGTAAAGAGGAGAATAAAGCGGGATGGGGGAGGGACTTAGTGCTAGCTTAACACAATCATTCCGAGGTGCCTACACCTCCAGACATTCACTCAGGCAATCTGGACAGATACTGACAACAAGAACGCCACTGATATCGGTTGGCAGCCATATCTCGTAGTGTGTCTCCAACCAGGCACAGTGAGGATCACGCGGTCCCCATCCTGGAAGGCGAGTAGCACCGACAGCACCCAAGCGTTTCGTGATCT